CGCCCTCTCAGCATGCGGAGGAGGCCTCCCGCCCCTCTTCCCAATCTCCACGCTCATCCCCCGAACAGAGCCGGGCTGGACACAAGAGCCGCCAGGTGACCCAGCAGGGCTCAGGGAGGTCCCACGCCAGGACCCTGGCCATGTCCTGTCCCCTCTGCCTGGCCCCCACTCTGGCCTTGCAAACCCACCCTTGAACCCCAGCTCCATCCCCAGCCACTGGCCTGCCGGGTCCCACCTGCTGGGGGCCAGACCTCCCCCTCTCAGCCTTCGGGAGAGCCCCCTGCCTGGTCACTGGGGCTCCCCCCCCCCACCCCCCGCCATCAGAGCCGGAACTGTCCTGCCCTCAGGGTATGTGACCCTGAAGTATTTGCTCAGGGGGTTCAGGCCTGGCTGCCAGTGGCTGCGCCTACTGTTGGCATCATGTAAAACGTGGGGACTGTGCAGCCGATTATGGCACCACTCCCGTGAGAGACAGCAGCACGGCTAGTCTTTACGCTGTGGCTTCCAGGAACCCATTCACGCTAATCACTCCCAGCAGAACGGGATAATTCAGCCCGCCACTCAGTGCTCGCACCGGCGAGTGCGGCTCCCCCAGGCCCTGCTGGGAACGGGGCGCTGCTTTCCGTTCATCTCTGCAGGAAGGGCTCGCCCAGCCTGAGCCGCCTTGCTTTCCAGGGCTTGTTGCTTTTGCAGAACATCAGCCGGGCGGTGCGCCGGCTCTCGGGGCAGCTTCGCTGTTGTCGGTGTAACGGCCGGCCGCGCCTCTGAGCATCCTCCCCACTCAGCCTGGTCCCCCCTCAGCACTGACGCTGTCAGCCCCGCACCTCAGACAGCTCAGGGCCCGTGGGAGAGCAGCGTTTCTGTGGGAGCCTCCCCACCCTGGGATGAGCCCCCCAGGGGCCCGCCAGCACCGCCCGTCCACCCCAGGAGTGCAGTGAGCCTGGAGCTCTGGGCTCTGGGACTTGGAGCACGTTTCCTGCCTCTCAGCCTCAGTTTCCCTATCTGTGCGATGGGACTAGGAAGGTGTGAGGATCAGGCGAGAGCGCCGTGTCCACTGGCGGCGGTTTTGTGGTTACCACGTCGGTGGTATGACCTGGTCTAAAACCCGAAGCCTCGGATCTAAACTGAACTGGTTCTGGGCTTCGGACACTCAGCTGCTCCACGTTCTCTTAGACCAGAGGCACCCCCCGCCGCCGTGGGAACTCCCTCCCGCAGGTGGAACCTGCGGTTCCGCGTGGAGACAGCGGGTTTGGGAGTCAGACCCCTGCCTTAGGTTCTTTGAACACCGTCGTCTGCTTTATGTTCTGTAAAACCCCACCGTGGCTGCGGCGCATGGGCAGTCCTCAAAAGATGGTAGAGAAGGGCCAGTGCCACACCAGGAGGCAGGGCCCCGGGATCTGCCCTGGTCACGTGTGACCTCTAGTGACCCCGAGGCCCAGCGGGGACAGGAGCCAGAGGCTCCCCAGCTCTGACCTATAGCCTTTGGCTCCACAAGCACCGGCCCCCCTGCCCCTCCCAGACCCCGGCTGAGGACTCGATACCACACGGGCAGGACCGGGGCTCGAAGGATGGGGCCCCGCCCCCGCAGGCCTGAGCTGACTGCCCGGCAAAGGCCGCCACGCTCACCCGGTCACAGCGTCCCCACGGGAGACCTGAGCTGGCGCGTGCAGGTGGGGCCGGCGGGCCCTCAGGTGTGAGGTTAGAGATGCCCTGTCCACCAGGCTGCAGCAGCCCAGAGCCACGTGTTGTCACCACTGGGCCCGGAGGAGGCGCCAACAGGGAAGGAGCCTCTTACAACCCGTGCTGGGCTCGGAGGGTGGGGGTGGTGCAGCCACTTCAGGGCGGCAGGGCCAGTGGGAGACGCTGCAGACGGCGCACCCGGCAGCGGACACACCCAGCAGAAGATGCTCTTTTTGTTAATCCTCACCCGAGGACATTTTCCCATTGATGTTTAGGGAGAGTGGAAGGGAGAGGGAGAGGGAGAGAGAAACATGGATGTGAGAGAAACACATGGATGGGCTGCCTCCTGCACGTGCCCAACCGGGGCCCAGGCTGGGGAGGAGCCTGCAACCAAGGTATGAGCCCTTGACTAGAATCAAACCCAGGATCCTTTGGTCCTCAGGCCGACACTGAGCCAAACAGACTAGGGCAATTGTTATATTTTTTAATGAGAGAGAATAAACAATCTTCGGTAGAAAAGAATTCCAAATAATTGATGTGATACTGACCCTGCCTCCATCCTACGGAGGTAGAGCATTAACTCTACCCCTTAAGCGTGGGCTACACATAGTATTTTTCCCCCAAAGACTATAGCATAGCGGGGACAGAGGGAAAGTAACTTCATAGTGGAGAAGCGCCGCCTGCCCCCGCCCCCCCTGCAGAGCCGGATGGCGGAGAGCCTGCGCCTCTTCGACTCCATCTGCAACAACAACTGGTTCATCAACACGTCGCTCATCCTCTTCCTGAACAAGAAGGACCTGCTGGCCGACAAGATCCGGCGCGTCCCGCTCACCGTCTGCTTTCCCGAGTACAAGGGCCAGAACACCTACGAGGAGGCGGCCGTCTACATCCAGCGGCAGTTCGAGGACCTGAACCGCAACAAGGAGACCAAGGAGATCTACTCCCACTTCACCTGCGCCACCGACACCAGTAACATCCAGTTCGTCTTCGACGCCGTGACCGACGTCATCATTCAGAACAACCTCAAGTACATCGGCCTTTGCTGAGGGGCCAGCCAGCCCGCCAGCCTGCGACGGAACCCCCGGGGGGCCCGCCCCAGCCCCGGGCCAGAAAACGGGGCCTGGAGAACGTCCCCCCTCCCCGCCCCTCCGCCTCCGTGGCCCCCACATTTCCACAAACATAACCATAGACGGATAGGTTGCTAGGTAGGTAGACACGCACGCACGCACACACACAGTCGAGACAGTGAAGCGCCCCCAGGCGTCGGGGTCTCTTGGAGATTTGAGGCGCTGTCACACGTTCCCCCAGGCCCTTCCCCCTCCCTGAGTTGGCCCCACTCTGCTTGGGGTCCCCCCCCCCGCACCGTGGGACTGCGGGGGGGAGGCTTTGGGGCCACCTGGAGGCCTGCTGCACCCTAGAACAGGGATCTGTCGCTGACCAGGAGGGAGGACCACGGAGGGCCTGAAAAAAAGCGCCCACCCTGGCCACCGGGGACCCCGCTCTGGGCCTGGGACCGGGGTGCGAGGCCGGACGGGCGCCCACCAGCCTCCCACCACTCGCAGCTCTTTTTAAACAGCTTCAGCGTGTGCAGCGACCGTCCACACGGCAGCACGAGCGGCGCGACCTGTCTCCAGCGAGGCCAGCTGGGTTCCAGCTTTCCTTCTCCTTGTCCGGTGTTTTCTAAACCTGGGATTTCTTCTCTGACTTTTTTTTTTGCCAAACCTCGTGGTGTTTTGCAGGAAAAAACAGACAATTTCAAACGCAGTCGAGTATTCTTTTTTTAAAGCGCGGGTCCCCGGGACCTGTTTTTTTTCAGGTGGTCCTTTTCGTGTCTGGCTTGCCGAGTGTCACAGTTGTTACCCGGCCGGGTCTGTCCCCTGCTCCTGTTCCTGGTGCGGTTTCTGCTTCGTTTTTGTTTCAGAAAATTCCATGTGACGTATTTAAAGAACGTTCTTCACGTCGGGGTGAGTGGACAGTAGCTGACGGTCGTGGTGGTGACGGAGGAAGTTCTCTGGCTCTGCCAGGAGAGGAAGGGGAGGCGGGAGATGGGCCCTGGCCGCCGCGCCTGTGGCTGAGAGCAGCTCTGCCTCCTGTGAAGGCTCAGCCAGCCTTGCAGCCTGAGGGAGGCCCTGCTGGGGCCCCGGCCCCGGGCCCGTGGCACCTGCCGCCGTGGA